TTAAAGAGTCTATGAATCTAGATGCTTAACTGATTATCTAGTTGAGGGCAGCAGGAGTGCTGCAACCTATCTCAATCTATCTGGGCAAGATCAAGGGTACACCCTGGATTGTCAGTTTATCGCAGCGAAAGCAACTGAGTACCCAACATTCAAAATGTTGAAAGTGACAATATTTAGTTTTTAAGAAAAATACATATGTTTATTTTGAATTGAATTTCAGCAATTATAGCACAAACAGCTGAAAAGACTGTGAATATCTTGTATTGGGATTTTTCCTCAAGAGTAAAGATGGGAATAGATTCAGACAGTCCAGGTGCTAAACTGATTTGCCAGCAGTCCAGACTTTTCACAATTTCAAAAGCATTTTGAAAAGAAAATTAAAAGGGAGCCTGAAACAGACAGAAAAATCAGAAAACATTTTACTTTTCCCAACTCAACCTATGTTGCAGAGACACTAAAAACTCTAGGAGTGGCCAAATCAACAATCCGTAGATTCTTAAAGAGAATGAACTCACTGGCCAACCCATCAACACCATAAGGCCTGAAAGAGCACCAAAGAAAATTAAAGTACGTCATGCTGTTTAGAAAAACTGTAATTCAATTCCATTCACATTGATTTTTAAAGTTAAAAGCTATATGGTGGTGTACAAAACAAATATTAATGGACCTAACTGTAGCTATCCATTTTAAGTCTATTTAATGAGCAGCAAGGACTACTTACGCTGTTATGTTGTTAATTTAATAGCTAAATATATGAGGCAAGACGATTATTAAGAGGTGCATATGGCTGAGTTTGTTAATAATAACCTCAGTGGCAGTCAAGAATCTTGTTTGAGGAGCGCGGGATGAGGTCAGATTATGGCTGCAGGCATCAACAAATTCTGATCCACAGTGTCCAGACACTGTTAAATCTTATTCACTGAAAGCTTAGCAACCAGCACACACTCAAACAGCACGCCACACTCACTTTATCCGTGCCTCTCACCCAGCTGTTCTTCTTTGCTCTGGCCAGCGTTCGTCTCTGGCTCCACACTACTTCCCGTTGAGACTGTCTCAGGAGTTTCTCCACCTTGCAAGTCTTATGGCAACCCATCGTCCCCTGCCAAATGGAAAAATAGATGTCAAGCAAAGCCTTGCATCAGTCACATTTCATCTCTTGCTTGGTACAAGCAATAACCTACCATGACAGAACAGTTTGCATGCTTCCCCAAGTGCTTGTCATGGTCAGCAGCGACGGATGATGATCTCCAGCATGTTCAGATTATAAATATCTGTATTCAACAGAGTTACATAATAATGGATTTGGATTATTGTTAGTACACACAGACAGAAAAGATGACACAGCTGCCACAGGAAATGCAAAATGCATAAAACTACACCTCTGTAATTGAAAAGTCGAGTCAATATATTTATATGCATTTCCTCTTATTATATGCACACAGAAAGTGTTAAAGGCTTTAAATATTAACTGTGGAAATCATAAAAAAAATATTAAGCTCAATTTTATTTTAGAGTGTATGCTGCATTAGGCTACAGTTTAAAATTCATGCTTTTCTCAAACTAAAATTGTGATTTACAGCAGCTGTGAACCTTAATGCGACTCCAGACTAAGTACACCCTGAAGTCTAACGGTCATGAGTTACTGCACAGTTTCCACTGTGTCATCTAGACCAGCGTGTTCCAGACCCAGAGTAGACTTATTAGCTGTGGACTTCTCCTTCCCTGACAGCTCCAATTCCAGTTAGACTCTAATATACTAAACGACAGTGCTGTGCAAAAGACTTGAGCCACCTTTGATTTCTTTATTTTTTTCCAGGAAAATGGGAAATAGATGCAGTGATTTATTCAAACATGTGCAAACATACATGGAAATACAATATATAAGACACAAACAAAATTTACATAATTCTAATGAGTTTAAAAATCTGTATTTGGCATGAACACCTTTATTCTTCAGCACAGCCTAAACTCTCTAAATACATTAAACAGTCCTCAGGAAGAGTTTGCAGGTTTTGCAGTACATTCAAAGCTCTTCTTTGGGTGTTTCTGCCTTTTTTTTCTGTCCTCTGTCAAGATGATCCCACACTGCTTTAATAATATTGAAGTGCAGGCTCTGGGGAGGCCAATCCATGGCTGATAGTGTTAAATTGTGTGTTTGTCTATCCAGGTATGCTTTTACCACATTGGCAGAGTATTTGGGGCATATTGTATGGTGGATTAAAATCTAACGGTACTATTATACCTCCATAATTCCATTAATTTTGACCACATCCCCAACACCACTGGCTGAAACACAGCCCTAATTGATGACAGCACCTCCACTGTGGCTGTAGACACTCACTGTCACTCACCTGATCTCCTCTGTACAGTTTAATGATTTGAACTAAAATTTGGATGAATTACTCCATAAGACCTCTTGCCACTGACTTTGGTTCTTGTGTACTTACCTCTGACTTTTCTCCGTTTCTTTTCCTTAATAATGGCTTCTTGACAGCAACCCTTCCACTGAGATCATTTCTGATGAGGCTTCACTGAGCAGCAGATGAATCAACTGAAGGGTCAGAAGCATTGCTCAGGTCCTGTGTCAAATTCTTCCTGCATTTTTAACGCTTTCTTAAAGACATGAATCAGAGAAACTGCTCAGCTGCAGTGGATAACTTTTTAGCCTTGCTACTTTAGGTTTCTGTCTTGCACATGTCCAGCTTCCTCAAATATTTTAAGAACACACTGCATCCAGTGCTGAGACATGCCAAGCTGATTGCCCTTTGGGAATCATGTCGCACTCTTTCTTAAATTTGACGTCATACCAACCCACAGAGCTGGAGTCTTCTAGCCACTCTTGCTTAAGCCAAACTCAAAAAGGTTGCAAAAGCGTACGATATGATCCACGACCCTAACCTAATATTTACAAATGTGTGCAATGATTTGTAACTTTTGAGGACTGACAAATGCAAAGCAATCAAACCACACGTGAAACCATTTTACAAGTGTACGTACATCCAAACCTGAAATACTGGTCGTTTGCGCGCATTTTTTAAGGTCAGCTCGCGAATCAGATAATTTTACCTTTAGAAAACATTTCTGTGCGTACAAATGTCTAAAACTACACGTAACTCTCGCTCGCTTGCTCACAAAACCTTATACGTGCGAACGAATCGCTCGATACGAACAGATCAAGTTTGAGACTAATTTAACGGGGCCAACCTCGCACAGATCCACAAATGTGAGCTGCTTTCAGGTCCCAGTGTAAAACTGGGACATTTGAACTTCAAACACTGTACTTTCTCTCCACGCAGATTAGCAAACACAAAGCTACATGCACTACTAGCAAGGGAGGCTGGTGAAAGAAAATGAAATAGTGCTCCAGCCCTGTTGCATTTGACTAGTAGCATTAAGCTAAGTTGTTCTCCATTTGGCATATTGATTTCTATTTTGACTGATATTTCCAGCTTTCACTCATGGCAGAGGTCAAACCTCACTGCTGTTGTTTTCTTTAATCCCCCTGCACTTTCATCACATCCAGTGGCTAGTGAGCTAACACTATAAATAACACTGAAATTAAATGAATTTCAACTGTATTCTCAGCAAAACTGACTGTCCATTTAACAACTCCACTTTATCTCACATACCATCACTTCACATAGGTAGTTGATACAACCTATCACACAACTCTGAATTATTCTGGCTTGTTTATAATCCACTCTTACAAAATGTTGATCTCAACACGCCCCTCAAGCTTCACCTTCATCAAAGTCAAGAAAAGTTGGTCTGGTAGTTGAGGATACTTATTCCAGCCAATCGCTACTCATCGTTACAGATCAGTAGGGACTATGATGTAAGTAATGCAAGCACTTAAAATAAATTATTTTATGTGTAAAGTAATACATTTAGCACAGTTGAGGAGACTTGTAAGTATTGCTGTGCCATACTGCAAATTTAGTACAGATACCAAGTAAATACAGGGCCAGTATTGCTGATACCAAGACTTTTGAACTTCGAGCCTATCGCGCTAGTATCAGTCTGATACCAATACCAAGACTGGTATCAATGCTATCGATATTTGATCAAACTCTGCTGGTGAATAACACTGACCACAGCAGAGTAAGAACAGAGTATTACCTTTATTGACAGAAAATTGCAGTAACAGGGCAGTTTAATATATTTCTTTAGCACTCCTGACCAGTGATGGAAGATGATCACCACCTGTGGTGAGTCACTGAGAAGTTTAAATATCTCTTATTTATAGTTCACAAAATGTTCATATTTGTATAATTTCCCTTTCAAACTGACAGATGGCTGCTTACAATTCTCAATCTATTCTGTGGAACGTGGGAGATTTCCCACTAATGACTAACAGTAAACTATTATTCAAAATTTGAAAAGGCACTAACCCAAATAATTAGTCAATGCACAAAATACACTTTGTTATCACTCACCATGCTTTAACATCGACATATTGCCACAGAAATTACTCATCTGAACCAACTGCTGTGACCAAGTTAAATCACAGCTCTTAATGTCCCCTGATTTGACATGTAGGATGAATACTTGGGGGGGGGGGGGGGGGGGGGGGGAGTCCCAGAGCTCATATTTAAGGACATTCTGTGATATTTCATTCAAAGTACACCTCTGAAAGAGCCTTTGATCTAAGTCAAAGGAGAGAAAAAGAGAGGAAAGGGAAAAAAGACCTTGCCCTCCAGGGACTCACTTCCACTTTCCTAACTAATCTTGTTTGGTTGATTACACAGAAGACAAGTGCTTTGTGCAAAGCACTCATTAGGCCAGAAGTAAACAGCAGCCTCTGTTTCTTTCCGCTTCTTTTAAACAAACTGAACCTCCAAATGTTTGAAGTGTTATTAGAGCAGGCAAAATACCCCTAATTTTGTCTTGAATAGTCAGAGATTTTATTTATTTATTATTTTAAATATCTGGATAGCCCCTGTATATTTAACTAAGAAGTTTTTAAGAAAATAAACAAGGACAGGACTTTTCATTCTGGATTTTTTATTTATTGCATTAGTTAATATCTGTTTTTTCAGTATAAAATACAAAAATCAAGCAAAAAACAAAAAGGTATCAAAATAAAAATGTGTGTTCCTGAAATATTCTTCCAAGAGTCTTACATTACTGCATGACTCTTTTCACAGCAGTATTTCAGTCATCACACTCAGTAGCTGTGACAAATGCACTTAAGGTTAAGGTTTCATATTAAAATGTCAAGAAGGCACATTTACAGTATAACAGTGGATTCTATGTTACTACATGAAATTCCTAAAGGTCTCCTGAGCTGTAGTAGTTTAACATTCACATCACACAAATAACATTATATATACACAACAGGTGAAAAGGATAAAGCACATACTTGAACATGTAAACACAAAGTATGCCGTCAGTTTACAGAGAAGTGAGCTGGTCACATGTTTTGACACTAAAGCAGCAGTTTGATAAAATTGTGACATGCATCAGCTTACCCAATTCAGGGTACACAGCTGGGACATGGTGCCAAACTAGCACTTGGAGAGAGACAGCCATTCATCTACAGTCAGTTAAACAAACCCCACGTGTGTCTGTGGGAGTACCTAGAGATAACATGTGAACTCCACACAGAAAGGCCCCAGCTAGCTGGTAGACCTGAACCCAGGACCTTCTTTCTGCAAGGCAACAGTGCTAACCAGTGCACCACTGTCTGGGCAGTTGTTGTAGCTTTATTAAATTATGATAAAAGAATGATATGCTCTCGTGTCTGTGTTTAATGTGAAGCAGCAGCCAGCAGCTATCCTAGCCTGGGTTAAAAAAAAAGTGTCTATGGCATGTTTATTACTTTAAACATGCAAGTTATACTTAATCCTTTAATCGAACCCTCAACAAGCACCCAAATCATTTCCCAAAATGTCAAACTGTTTCTTCAGCACAAAAAAATCTATTTAACAGCAACATAGAACAACAGTAATCTGCTGTATTGAACAGACGTGCTCTACTTCAGCATAACACAGAGGCCGATGTTGTTGTGTCTATTGTAACTGGTTCTGTGTGTTGACTGTTGCGTCTTTGTTCAGGGCTGATAGCAATTATGATGTTTTACAGTTAAGAAGAATTGATATATTTTTGCAGTGAAAATATAAACCTTGAAACTTTAGAACCACACAAAACAGACTACTGCTGGACCACTACTCTGTGACCTAGAGCAATGTCCCAATCACATCCGATTAGTTACATGCATATAACAAACAATCAAAACTAAAGGCTATTCTGGCACAGTAAAGTACACACAGACTGGAGCTGACCAGTAGCTAGATGAGCTGTGTTTTGAAGGTAGAATAGCAGATATCCTTGAAGTGGTACATCCCACAATCTTACAACCTACTTCTGTTATGACAAGTATGCCCACCTCTATTCCAGTTTTATTGAATTCAGTCTTCATCCTTAAAACTCATCAAAAATAGGAACAAATTTCAGAGTAATTTCAGGCTCACCAATTTGCAAGACCAATTATGGAACAATTTCAGAATAAAGAATGCTTTATTGTTTCATAACTTTTTTTCAGCTTAAACATTTGATATGTTTTCTGTGTTCTATAGTAATGAAATATGAGGATTTGCTTTTGAATAATTACATTCTGCTTTTATTTTTACATTTTATCCCAACTTAAATTTTAAAAATATATTTTGTCTCTTTATCATCAAATATAAGCACCATGTTTTCACTAAGGCATGAAACTGGCAACTGAGGCCATTAACTCCAAAGGAAAGTGTTAAGGAGCCGAGGAATATTTTCCCCACCAAGATCTGTTGCACTGGACTCTGCTGACCACGAGAAGGAATTCATGCTTCTAATTGGACAGACACGCCCTAACTGCCATAAAACAGTAACAATTAATACTTTAAGATGTTGTCTTTAGTGAGTGATTAAATTGCTAAAAAAGCGAAAAATTAAAATAAAATAAAAAAACATTGAAGAATAGCAGGGGTACTGGGAAGATGAGACAAACAGATCTATATCTATATACACATCTGCTGCTAAGCTTTAGGCTTTGATTATTTTTTCTTTTAATTAAGAAAAGGTATTAATTAACACCAACACTTGTGTCCATCATGTAAATATGCCAGATCTGCTTTTTTCATATGTAGTGAAGTGATGTAAACATTAAAACTTTCTTTTACCGTAAAAATGTATCAATTCCAAATATCAGCTGTCAGTTGGTTGTTATCAGGAGTCATTGTTTTTTTTAAAAATAATAACAATAATGGGGGAAAAGTTCTGCTCAAGACATCCGTCCTGCTGGGTAGAGGCTGACAGTCCTATTATGAAGTTTGTAAAAGTTTCATCACTTCTGTCTGCTGTGGAACTGCACACGATGGAATTCATTACTCAAAGACTCCGACTATTATGATGAGTAAAAGTATGAAACCTCCACACATGGCAAGGTAGAGAAGCTTCTGTCAAAACAGGAGAAAGGAGTAGTCAGAGGAACTGGCTGCATATGAGAAACCGCAGATCCAGTGAAGCATTCGGCAGATGAACATAATATATAAAATAGATTCATAAATTAAGAGATGGATGTTTGGCTCAAGAAAAGGAAGTTGTGGGTGTGGAAGTGTTGTTACCTCACAGCAGGTCTCATGCAGGGGGTTTGGTTAGTCCGACAGACAGGCCGACAATTAGTGCAATAACAGCAAGCAGGATCAACAGAGCAAAGGCAAGAATAATGTATTTCTGGCAAGTGAAGAGGAAGACGGTGTTATTTAAAGTTCATGAATGAAAAGAAATGCTGCTTAGACCACGATCTTATATCAAATTTACCTTTACAAAGATTTATATTTTTTAAATTGCATCAAGAAAGAACCAGAAAGGAGCACATACCCTCCGGGATTTCTTCTGGTACCTGACTGCTTTTTTGGTCTCTTCCTTTGCACGACAAATGTATTCAGCTGCATTAGAGACGTTCTTCTCAATGTTGTTAACCATATCCCCCTGTAAATGAATGCAGATGCTTTTATTTATGGCCGGGATGTCAAACCTATTTCACATCCTGGATCACATACAGGCCACTTTGATCTTAAGCAGTAATTTCTATAGTAGTGGAAAAACAGGAACTTTATGTCCTTTAATTTTGTAAATAGTGAATGACAGTTTGGGGGGGTACACCTCCTTGCTGGACAAGTCTTAGTGGCCACAAGCCTTATGTTTTACACCTCTGATTTGATACTGGTATTTGTGCTATGAGCTCCATTCTAATATACCTAGTAGACAATATTAGAAACAAGTTTTAAAAGAAAAATCAACAGATCTGCTTGTGAAAGTTTCCACTCAGATGAGGCTCTTACCTGAGTTTCTACCAGCATTGCCATGTCCATGAACATCGCATGGAGCTCCCTGATGCTCGTCTCCAAGCGCATGATGTCCTGGTGTCGTGACTCTATCTCGTTCACGACTTGCCGTGTGATTTGGGAATCAGAAATGATCTGAGGGAGAAAGATTTAATACCTTCAAAAATCCATCCAAAATCACCCCATCGGCACACAACCCCAACTGCAAAAAAGATTTACTCATCAGCCACTAGATGGCAGTCGTGGCATTTTACCAAGCAAGCACATTAATGCTGGAGAAACCGTACATCAGAGGTGAAGATGGATGGATTTCCACTTTCTAACATGTCTTCTAGTTCTTCATTGGTGGTCACTCTTCCAGCTAGAATTAAACAAATAAACAAAGAATTCAAAATTGTCTGGCAGTTTTATTTGATTCATAAGTTTTGGCACTCCTAACAAAAGTGACTGTTTTGGACCATGTGTATTTGCTCCCACCCATGAAAGTAATATGCCTTCATTTGATGTCATTATGGAACTGAGGAAGAATCCCTCTGAATATATTTTATTTCTTTTGCCCCATCTCTGCCTGCTGCAGCTGTCAGTGGATTCATGCCAAAGGGTTGCATAAGAGGTACCGAAATCTACAAACCCCACCCCCCCCAAAGCTCCTGAAACAATCTCTACAAACAGAGGGCTTTCTTTTACAGCAACCATGCCTCCTGTTGTAAAGTACTCTCCCTGGAGAGAGAGAGACCGCTGTGCAGGTGCTTACTGTATATCGCACACCTTTATCGGTGGCTGTTCCTCAGAGAGACACTCAAAGCAAAACACACCACGCGCTCAGCTCATCGCTACACATCAAGGCTTTTACTTGTGAACGGTGTCAGTTATTGGTGTTTGGCGACAGCACAAACTGAGTCTGGTCAAAGACAGGTGAACTACTGTTGCACAGGCCGCTGAGTGCTCTGCTCGTATCCCGGGCAACGCAAACACAGAGAGGCGTCTCCAGTATCAGGCTCGCCCGTCTGCAGAACTAGAGCCTCTCATTAATGCCGGCCGCAGGGACTGGCTCTGGGAGTCAACCCTTTTTTATTTTTTGCTTTTCACTATTGTTACTCACATATACTTAATACAATGGATCTGCCTGTTTGTTACAGGGATACTGAACAGCGAGGACTTAACACAATAAGCAGAAAGCAAATTACAAATCTGGAGTTATAACAAATATGAATCTTATTGTACCTAAACAATCATTTCTATCTGATATAGAATATTTGTTAATGAGACTACGTTATATGTTGCTAATACGGGAACCATTTTTAGTACATTTCTTTCCAAAACACTGGAAATTTATTGTCTGGGCGTTGCAGAAACCCTATACTATTGCTCTTCTCTGTTTATCAGCACTAAGGCTGGTGTCCAGAGAAGCAGAGAGGAAGCTGGTGCGGTCTGTTTCCTGGATCCTGCCCTAACACAGCTTGAGGGTTTTACTTCTTTTGTCGCCCTTTTAGCACTACTTTTTTAAATTTGTCAAAAGAATTGAAAGTGTAATTAATTTCAAGTCCTGTATGGTCTTCCATTGGTAGTTAATGTAGCCCATTATTCCTGGGCTTATTCAGATACAGGAGTACAATTATTTGTCACTCACTTATCTCCAGCTGTCTCTGGATTCTTCCTTTGCTTCTTTCCCTAAAGGACACTTGAGTCTCGTTGTACTGGGTCATGACCTCCACAAACTTCCTGGAGAGCACAGTGTGCTGAGGACAAGTCAAAACACAGGGACACAAAGTGATAATGTGCTGCAGGCTTTCCAGACTTCTGCTTATCCAGCTCAGGGTTGCCTATCCCAGCTGTTTTAAGGGGAGCGGCAGAGTAATCTGCCACAGAGGTAACACATATAGTGAAAACCATTCACCCTTATGTTCACACCTGCAGCCCATTTAGAAACAGTCCATCTAACCCAGTGCATTTCTTTGGACTGTGGGAGGCCAGAGTACCCAGACCGGATTTAAATCCAGCTCTCTCTTGCTGTGAGGCAACACGGTTAACAGCTGGACCATCATGTCACCCTGCAAAGTTTTAAGACTTAATACCTTATAATTCAGAAGTACAAGATACAAAGTACACGTTGGAAGTGTTGGAAGGTTATGATACAGTTTTTGCTCTTAAACTAGAGAAATATACCATCAACAAAATACAGAAGTAAAGCTGAGAGCTGGATAGTCAGAAGTTATTTTGTCTGGATTTATTTATAATAAAAACAAAACAGCTTTTATCTGTATGAAGTTCTGCATACAGCTGACAGAGTAGTGCTTGGGTCGTCGTGTGATCAGGTATGTGATAAGTGTGCGTGTGTGAGGAGATCGTGACCTGTGTTTTCTGGATCCTGAAGTCTACGGAGGCCCTGTTAGCAGCATCGTCTTTGGGCATGCTCAGCTCAATGGCTGTGAAAAAAAAAGTAAAAATGACATTGTTACACAATTTGAAACACATGAAAGAAATGTGGACGACAGCTGAACTCACATTTTAGTTTGGTTCGCACCACATTGGCATTCCCTTTGATATCATTGGTGAGTGCAGCCAGCTGATCCTTTGTCCCTTCGCACACAAACAGGAGATGTGTTAGATTTGAGTTTGTTTAGAAGAAAAGTCGTCATCCAGGTAATCCAAATATTTGATCTGCTCTGATTTCAGCTGGTCACTTGGCAACGACCCCGAGGCAATAATGGAGAGGTTACAAAATAAAGGACAATTTCCACGTCATGGACACTGTTATGAACTACATTAACTGATTCCATGGCAAAGTAAACTGAGTTATCCTGTGACCAGATTTTCCACTCACACAGTAAAGAAGGCTAGACACTGATTCGGATCTAATTAAAGGATCAGTCATAATTTAAAACCATTTGGAATTTGTAGAAATTCTTTTTTAGTAAAACAGCATGTTTAACCTTCCTGCCTTCTTGGGACCTTTTTGTGCCACTGCTATGTGTTAAATGGCTGCCATTTCCACTGTGTTCAGTGGAATATAACCAAACTTGCCACAGGATAGTTTTTACCTGTCAATGTTAATATTCCAGTGTGAATTCCTTAAATCAGCCTAAAATGGCTGAGCAGCAGAAATCCCCACACCCATCACCCTGGGGACCATTTTCTGCCCATTGACTTCCATTATAAATGCTATTTTTCAACCCCAAATTATCATCATATGATTTTATTTTTTCTTCTTTTCTTGGATGTCAATGAAGACTCAGGGCCTTGAAGTTTTAATTTTTAAATTGCAAAAAAAATGCAAAAAAAATAATGGCAGGTCAAAATGTATGTTGGTGCCAATCTTTGGTCCATCTAAAGGCCTACTTATAATGACAATCACATATTACTTCAACTGGTTTTTTGTGGAAATATTTAGTTTCGTTTTTTGGTTTTTGGGGCTTATAACACAGGGCGCTCATGTAATAACACTGGGATTTGAAGGGTTAAAACAACGAAAATATAATTAAAACTTTACATGAATATTTCAGGGAGAAGTAGTTTTACAAGGTTGGCTAATTTAAAGTGGAATAAAATATGGATATATGGTCTTTTTATGGCGTGGCTGAGAATGGTCCCTAGGGTGATGGGTGTGAGTTTTTTAAAGGATGGCAGGAGGGTTAAATCCCTGATTAAGTCCTGAATCTCACAGTAGTTTGTCAGGTTTGATGCAAATTTGAGTGCTACTTCCTTCACAGGTTTCCGGTCTGCCGGCCATTCATCGCAACTAAGGAAGGAAGACATCTGAAGCACGTTGACTCTGTGCCCAAAAAGACTACTTCCATCCATGCATTTCTAAAAAATAAAGCAATAAAAAAAACCTAAAGGATGTTAACATCCTAAACGACCCACACTTACTGTCATCTGTGTTGGGTGCCGACAGGATCATGCTGTGGATCTTCCTCACTTCTTCCACTTGTATGGAGATCTTATCGATGACTCCTCTGACTTCTTCCACCTACACCAGCCGATAAATAAGCAAAGAATCCATCAGTGTCCTCAATTATTATTGCTTTTAGTCTTAATACACATTCTGGAAGTCACAGTAGTACACACCCTTCTGAAAAAGCTATCCATGAATCCATCTTGGTTAACTGTAACTGCAACATCCTCTTCTGTTTGTGAAGCGGCCTACGAGGATGAAAATGTGTTTGAGTGACCTTTTTTTTTTTAATGCCGCCAGGCTATTTCATGTCACGATCCACGAAGTTGAAGCTAAAACAAAAACACTTACAGCGGTCAGTTCAGCCAGTCGATCCTTCATCACACCGGTCAGCTCGTCTCCCGCTCAGCTAGTTGTAAAGCATATGCTGGCTCTATCCTGTACATCTCCATGTGGAGAGGAACATTGCCGCGCAGTCGGGTCCAGGTGGCTAATAAAAATAGATTCAGTTTAATCTCTGAGATCCAGGCCCACGAGGTTGTGAGATGACAGTCGCAGAAATAGGAAGTCAGTGCCACAGGTCGAGCTTTGTTTGATCAAAACTGGGTCCAAGACACAACTCAGAAATAAACCCAGAAGGGGCTGTTCCTGTTTCAACTCCGCCGATATTCCCCGCTCAACAAGTGCATCGGATCCGTAATAGATCCACAGTAATATCCCTCTCCCCGGGATACGCCTCTCTCTCTCTCTCTCTCTCTCTCTCTCTCTCTGTCCCTCTCTGTGAGGTCTCTCTCTCTCAGATGACGTTGATGGAGAATCTGGTCCTCCCTTAATCGCATTTGAACTTTATGATAAATAAACTAAATGGCTGCAATCATATTTCAAAAGGGCTGAACTTGGTAGAACTATTACACAAATCTGAAACTATTTGAGGTACCATTGTCAGACTTTAATCTTTTGTGGCATTTCTGAGTTTATTGTAAATCGATTTTTTTAATATCAATTTGTTTTCTTTATTTAATTTTTTTTAGACAGCAACAACAGTTTGCGGTTACATGAAAAGGTTTTTTATAAATAATATATAAGCGCTGCTGGATGGCCGCTAAGCTATTATTCACCTGGCCACACAGTGGCGCTGTTTACCCGCGTAAATCGACTTTTGGAGCCTTCGACGGGACTCCTGATGACTTCCCCATATGTGGATGTCATCCAAACTCTAAATGCCCAACTCTCATTACGCATTTCACAAACCGAAATTACCGAGCCAAAAGTCAAACAAGGGCCCACTTCTCATCTGACAACAACATAGGTCTTGTTTTATGTTTCCACTTGGAGTGCTTTGAGTTCTTCTTTAATACTGATCTTATTTACAGAACTTTCATACTTTAGTGTGTGTGTGTGTGTGTGTGTGTGTGTGTGTGTGTGTGTGTGTGTGTGTGTGTGTGTGTGTGTGTGTGTTGTTTAACTGTAACTCAATTTGTTTTTAAAAGGGGTTTCTGCTCCTTTCCCACATATCTAGGCATATCTGTGCAACTTCGCAGATAGCACTCAGCGTATTCCTATTATTCCTAGAAAGGTTTTGCATGCTGTTTGTGTAGCTACTCAGTCATCCAGGTTATTGTAGTCTTCAGAGCTTGAAAAGAAAGAAAAAAGCTAGACAACGCGACTCTCCACCAGTTGTCGGAAGAAGCTTGCTCGAAACGTCTTTAAAATCGTATGCTATTTACATATATTTTGAATACAAACTCAGATGTGCATCTGTGGATCACACGGTGCACACCCTGATCTCACTCCCCGTGCAATCTCCAATTACGCACAAGTAACGCCTTTTACGCACAAACTTTACCGCCCCTCCTTAGAAGATCCAAAGAAAATGACTTCACGTTTTGCAATTCCCACGTTCAGTCCAGCAGCAGCCTAGCACAGCTCAGCGGAGCTCCTGTACTCCTTGAGGCTCCCAGATGCAGGCAGAGAAATTCTAAGAAAACGGCTTTTTAAATTTTCGGATAAATATTAAGGATTACAATTTTCTGGAGTTGGGCTTCAGTTTTTATCATGAAAGGACAACTTCTGAAGTTTTTCGGCCTCATGCCACAACTCTAAATTGAATGCTTTATTGAGTCAGTGCTTCTATTTATTTTCTTTGGGTATTTCTAACCTTGGACAAATGGACTGATCCGAAGTTTTATTTTTATTCTATTGGTACAATGAGCGGTGCTTATTGGATTCATCTTCACCCGTGGAATTAAGTTGTTTCAGAGATTTAATGTTATATTTTGCAGAGACTATGGCATTTTGTTTGCGGATTCGCATTTTTACAGCTTTTGTCTCCTTTATTAAGGTAAACTTAAAAAAGGCACATCATGATGAAAATGCCTAGCAATTCCTCCCATGTAGCAGAACGAACTGTGCACTGCAGACTTTATAAGTTATTTTTAATTTCTTAACAGGTTTATGCTCAAGTGGCGCAAGCTCAGAAGCATCCAGGTAGTAAGAAATTTCTGGACTGACAATTTTCCTGTGTTTCCAGTTGCTAGATTAAAAATGAAAAAAGAAAGAAAGAAATCATTTGTAAGATCCTGTTTTACCATCTGCTAATTGCCAGAGGATGTTATTGCTTTGTTTACTTCTTCTGCTTAATCTAAATAGTCTGCTTCATAAACAACTTTTTTCCAGTTGTTTGCATCATTATTATCATCACTGTCTTTTTAATCCACCCCAAACCCAAAATGTAGTTCTGGGAAAATAAATTCTGATTAATGAGGCAGTGCTTGATTGGATGAAAAGCCCTTTCTGGATGCCTGTTTATGCTTGACTTGTCCATCCAGGCCTGGAGGTATTGGACACGGCCTCGCATTACTGGCCGCTGGATGCAGTGGAAGGAATCCATGAACTGTGGGATCATAATGGAAACAGATCAGGTTATATTAACGGAAGCAACATAAGTATGTGAATATGAAAACACCTGTTCGATTTAAATGTATTTTTACCACCCATCTTCCAGCCAAAGCTATATGATTTTGATTTTAATGCCAGATTTATGAGTGAAATTACAGTCAATTAAAAAAAAATAGGATTTAAAAATGCTGCAGTACATCGTTTACAAAAATCTATAGTTTGGAGATGACATTTGCCTAATTTTTAATTAAATATCATTTGCAGCAGTGTTGTAGATTCCTCATTCAGTGAAAGATTAAAGTTAAAGAGGGATCGGGTATAGACTTGGGCATGATGTGTGAAGTCACACTGAGTTTTCTTTGACCACTGCCACCTCGCACGCTGGTCACCATCACTCTGTCTCATACCTGTGCATCACGTCCCTCCCATTGCTTTCCTTTCACTGTTCTGTCTTCTGTTTTTTTGTCCGTATTGGTGTGAATCACTTTTTTTTTGTCTCTGTTGTTTTTGTCCAGCTATCAGAATCCACAACCACACTGTGCTCCCTTCTTCCCATAATTCTTCCTATGTGTACAATGACTCTGCCTACACTAACATTTCTGCAATACTAGGTGAGGATCCATCACTTTTCCTCTCACTGAAAATCATTTGTGCATCACCCACTGCCTTCTGTTGTTCCCTCTGTATTGCCACACGGTTGAGCTGAGCCCTCCACACTTTTCTCCCCATTCAGTCTTCGGTTCTTGCAGACTGAAATGAGGACTTCTTGGTATGTTGATGATAAGGGATTGTTCTTTAACATTAAATAAACCTGAAGTCAAGTAGGAGACTTATTGACTGGCTTCTGACATGAGATGCAAGTAAAGCTGCAAAATCTTTATGTTCATCATGCAAAACAGCGTGTGGTTAGATGACTATAAAGTCACTTAAACGGTTACAACACCTTCCTGTTTTTAAATGAAATTTTTCCTCTAAATTGTGCTTTTCCCAGACATTGTTGAAGGAATGGTCAACAAGGGCATCTTTCTGAATGGAGATAACGGTGGCACCTTTCTTCACTTTGGAAACTACCAGAACACGTGCATTAGTGACCCTAATTTATGTGGTCCTGAGGGTGAGTGCACTGCACTTAATCTATAATTGAACAAGTTATCGTTTAGCTTGTAAAACTGTTCAGTTCCTGTACTGACGGCTGCTGGGTTTTCATCATCCCCTAGGCATTACCTTCTCCTTTTTTTGGAAAAACCACGAGTCAGCCTCCCGCTTTGCTGTCGCTTCTGGAGGAAAAGTTATCTCCAATGGCTTCTCAGTCTACACAAACCCTTTAGGAGGATATGTGGAGTTTTACACTCGTAGCAACAAGCACAGATGGCGGGCCAACATCGACGTTCCAGGTACGCTTAATACATTTCCTTTCACATAGTTACATTTCCCACAAGGAATCTATTTTGGTCTTGAACACACCATAAACTAATGGTTATATAATTGCATTCATGACTTTGTTAACTGAGACCAGATGTAACTACGGACAGTTGATTTGACAAAGATGGGGGTAGATTTCTCAAATCTTTTGCTGTAGCACTAAACATACAATTTTTTGGAGATGGCAGACAACATGTGCAAAATAATGTTCGGTGTTTAGTTTTGGTGTCAAGTTAGATGAGATATGAAACACAATAAAAGTCAGAGTGTGACCAATATTTTGAATTAATTTCTGAAAATGAAATTACTTTCTTTTCTTTTTTTTCATGAGATGGGCTGATACTGTAAACAGTTGACAAAATGAAATAAACCATGTGAGATTCAACATTACGTGAAACTTTTACCAATCGCTATTCTCTTCTCAAATGACTTGTGTCATCCTTGTTTTTCCTGCAGTTACTCAAGGTCTTGGTCGTAACTCAATTTTGATGCTAGTGTTCGGTTATAAAGATCCAAACGTCATCTGGTTCTCATACAATGACATGTTGAGCCTTGGGGACATAATGTCAAAATATGTCACTTCTCTTTCTTCTGATTTGGGAGAAAAGGTTTTTGTGGGTGAATGAGTAAGACTCGAGGGCCTGTGTGACCCAGTGTGTGATTGTAAGGTGAAAGTTAATAATATAAAAATGTACATTTAGAAGTGAATGAGAGACTTGCAAGCTGAGCTTGGTCTTTGGTACATCCAGTACTGCTTATATTGCAACCACAAATGACATGTGTTTTGGTGGTTTTGGCTGTCTGGCATGTGTGACGGGGAAGGCATTGTCTTTTGGGACTTCTCTATTGTTTATTAATTTCTCTGTTCTTGTGATGCACAATTCATTGTAAATATTGGCTGGAGTTTTTGGTTTGTGCAAACCATAAAATCTAGCATCTGGAACTGAAGGAGTAATAAATTACTAAATCAGTCAAAAGATTAAGCTCGATTAATTAATGGAAAAATCAAACATTTTAGTTGACAGAGTTAATTCAATTCAGTTCTGCTTTATTTATAAAGTGCCAAATCACAACAACAGTCCCCTCAAGGCGCTTAATGTTAGTTGAGTTTTGGTTCTTCGCTTAAGACAGCGCCATCAGCTGGTCAAAATGTAAAATTGTGTAGTGTTCTTGCTATTCTAACTATTCTTGCTAAACTAACCCAGCATCTTTCTGAACTTAATAGGCTATCTCACAAAAGCCATGTATCTATGTTCAGCCTCACATAGCTGTTAGCACGGCTAGGAACTTGTGTTTAAGACACACACAAATTCTATTCAGTTCAAGCCAATATTGTTTTTATATTCTCGGGTAGTAGAACAGGTCACCTACAA